AACAGTCCGCGATCTCGGATCTGAAGCATGGATACTCGTCCTTGTGATGGGAGAGTGGCTCCGTCTGGGCCCAGCTCGAAGTTGGTGCTCATTTCATGCTTTTAAAATATTTGCTTTTCAGCATGCAGGGCCCTGTCTTTGGGGAAACCCAATGTGGGAAAATACCAATAGAAAACTAGGGCTGGGACTAACAGAATGACAAAATTCTTGTTTAAGAAAACCTCACTATCACATTCCTTAAGAGTCCACTCTAATGCTTACACAAAAACTTAACTTGCCTTCCAGCTTAGCAAGCGCACCGCTAGGCCTCCCCAGCTGGCCGCGGAGGCTCAGGTGGGAGCAGATTGCCCGTGGAGCATGTCTGCATTAGCCCACATACTGCAACCATTCATAATGTTTTGGCAACCCAGCGACAAGCCTCGATCCACCCACGTGCTCTCTCACTTTTTTCTTCTTACTGCTTTCATAAAAGCTTTGGGCATGCTATCTTAGTACAGCCAAGATTCCCTTTGTCTACTTTTTGCAAGGAGTTTAATCTTCATCTTTATTAGGATGCAAGGCTAATTTGCTCGTTAATAATCTCACACTATAAAGACACAGAATCAGAGCACCTGATCTGACCTCCCCCACATGCCAGCACAACAGGCTCCAAACTGCAGTGGCTGCAGAAGCCTACAAGATAAACAGGGTGGTGATGGGGAAGCTCTTACTCAAATCTAAATGCAGCCACTGCTTGCCCGTCACAGGTGGAGATCACTCGGGGAGATTGTGCCCAGACATTTCTCTGATGTGACTTCTCGAGCAAAATAGAACACGACACACTTGTCTCAACTTGCTCCTGCAGGAGTCTGTGAACAGGTGAGGAAGTCACGATGCAGAGGGGTGGATCGCGGCACAACAAATGCTCACTTGGATGTCCTTTCCAGAGGCATCAACTCATTTCAATGTAGAAGAAAGTCTACCCCCCACCACACCCCGCTTTTCCTATCAGTCGGTAAAAGGTTGTAAGAAGTTGTCCATCAGCCAGGTTCCCACCAGACTCTTGACTGGGTTGCAAGACAACCCCATGTGCATGTGGAATGTACCTAGAAATACTTTCTGTAGCTCATATAAACAATGCTTATTTGCATTAATTATAAAACTCTTGGCAACTGAACAGCTGCTTTCAAATATAATTCCATGTCAAAATGATGCCAGCTTGCTAGAAACCCCCGAATTCTGAGAGGCAAGTGGAGGATAAAGGGAATGAGGCAGAGGTCCAAGAAAAGATGGGTACGATTATACACAGTAGGGACAATGTTTTTGACGTAAGACAAATGTTAATGCTGACCAGAAACAGCCCAAACTAATTCTCATTCCAGTATAGGACTGTAACTTTGAAGAATACCTACCATGACCATAAGTTTTCCTAATAATATACCATACAATTTTTATCTGATCATAGGAATTCAGTGGTGCATGCAGAATGGAGGAAAGACAGCTCATAAAGGAACAGGCCTGGGTTTTATATTAAAAGTGTAATATAAATTTCTCAATGATACCACGCAATAGGATATGCCCCTATGTACCATAAGATGCTAATAATGAGCCAATTTTTGCATACATTTTTATCTGGGCAAATTAATAGATGGAATTTTGGGGTCTGTTGACTCTTTAAATGTACTTAAAATAGTACTTTGTATTTAAATTCCACTAGTACCAGTCTGCCTTTAGTAATAAAATACTTAAATTATTTTTCAGGACCAGAAGCATTCATTTGGGGAAATTAAAAAAAAAAATCAGTATTATAACTAACACTCTGGGTCAAAGATTTGATTTTAATGAAAACAGTAGTCTGATAAATGGAAGTCTGGCCTTGAGAGACAAAAGTTTCATCTGGTTAGTATTTTAATTTAAAATAATTAGTTTTGTTAGCTTATTTTAAAATTGTCTCTTTATATTGATCGATCCATAATCTGGATGTCACAGCCTCTGGAATACAGAGGGAGGGGCTATGAGCACAAGCTGACTGCATGCTGCTGGCTAGAACTCCTGCCTCCACGGATCGAGCTTCTACCCCCCATTCCATTGCTGCCAACACCTGGGAGAGGACCACCCTTGTCTTAACCCGTCCTTTGGAGCGTGGGACCTGTGACATTCTGGACAGGCTCTGTTCTCTGTGTACAATGTTTTCTGCTGAAGAATCAAGACAAAATAAACATGGGACGAGAAGAGCTCCAGTGCCGAGACATATTGCTAACGATACGCGGAACAGGACGGGCCAGGGCGAGGAGGACGGAGAAAAGGGAGCCTGTCTTGTGATTGTGGCAGAGGGGACTGGCCCGTGCTGGGTCTCTAGGAGCTGTGTCAGCAAGTTATAAAATCCAGGAGGCTTTGGGTCTGAAAATGGGTTAATTATCAGAGCTATATGATTCGATTGCCTAAGAACTAGATGAGTTGACTGATTTATTTAAACTGTTTGGAATAGGGCTAGGCACATAAGCCCTCATATAATAATTATCATCTATTAAAATTAATATCACAGAAAAGAAGGTTGCTACAACGACAAGTAAGAGCATTTTCATTGGTTCGCTGGCTCAAGGACATTTTTGTCCCTTGGAACCTACTTCCCATCTTAAAACTGAAAGATGGTAAGGAAAGCACTGAAGACAAGAAAATTAGGGTATTTGTACCAAGTGAAGACAATGTAAAAAGCACTAGAAAAACCAAGCCTATATAAAACAGTTATCAACATGTTTGCTTGTTTGACTGTCCTCTTGGATCCAGAAGCCCAAGCGCAGGCGGAGTGAGAAAGCGGCGCTGGGGAAGAATGCCGGCTGAGAATGTCTGGGAAAAACAGGGACCCCGTCCGTCCGTCGAAAGCACTCGGCCAGACTGCCCGCTCGGCTCTGGGCCTTTCTTCAGCCTCCTGCTCATGATCAAAGCCACTCAAGAGGCAGCTCTCCAGCCCGTGAAAATATTAATAACCTCGCCCTCGACAGGCTCTTCCTCTGAAAGCTAACTTTAAGCGATCGTGCCCACAACGCTTTGGGAATTCCTAACCCCCAGAACCGGCAGCTTTACTTCGGTGCCTCTTCCCCACTGGTCCTTTCGGCACCGAGGTCTGATCAGAGGTTTGTTTCTCTGGCTTAACCATTTGCTCTTCCTTCCGGCATGTAGTTCTGTGTATTCTCCTTTCACTTTTATTGGGGAAGGTGGATTAAAGTTAACAAAACAGAAGGGGGCATTGGGGGGGGGGGACAACGCCAGAGACACCAAAAAAGACACAACTCAAAGACACCTCGGCTTGCCCACAGGCCTGTGCGTGTCCTCACAGAACTCTGGCTCCATACAGGAGACAGGCACAAGATCACACATGCGGTCGGCATGTGCCCTCCTCTGGGAGGAACAGGGATCTCAAAAGCCTCTGTTGCTACGGCCTGGGGTTCTAATGTCAGTGGCGGGGGACAAAACTAAACACTAGTCCTTGGGATCTGAATTCGCTTGAATCATTTGAAAACAGTTAGTACCATTCCCTCTTCTTAGAGCCTAGAACCAAGAATTCTTCACGTATTTGTACCCAGTGCTGGATTCTTGAATCTCAGGGAGCCTGCTTCCTATTCCCATGTGTGACCCCACTGGGGTAAAATCAAGGGCAAAAGGTCATCAGATTGCCTGTGAGTCTGAATTCCTGTTATCCAGTAAGCATCTCTAAATCCAGGGGAGAACACCAGCCAGGGCACACCACCCTGCCACGCCCCGAGGCGGCTCTGACAGGCCCAGGACAGCAGGCGGCAGGCAGATGGGAAGGGGCCTGGGAATGGGAAAATAGAGGAGAGGGAGGGAGGGAGGGCATAAACATGAACATGGAAGGAGGCAGGAAGAATAAGGCGACCAGACATCCCGATTTTTGGAAAGAATGCACGACATGCTAGGGAACGGTCTATTTGGTCCATATAGACCAAAATTTTTAATCAAGAGCCCCACCCCCCACCCCCGAGTCAATGGTGTCCCGCTTTAAATCTGGTCACCTTAGAGAAGGGCACGATGAAGCGCAGAGCAAGCAGGGGAGCAGAGGTGGGGAAACAAGGTGGAGGCACAGTAGGGCAAGACTCTAAATCGTGTAAGTTTGCATTTCCTTTTTCCATCTGTGGCCAAGGGTGCACGCAGGTGTCTGCAGTGCCATGGGGAAACCCAGTGTCAACACAATGAGGCCCCATCACGGCACGTCGCACTGCTGACAGCTATCTGTTCACATCTATCGAGTATTTGTACTTGTAAGAATTTCCAGAAGGCAGTCCAAATCCAGAGACTGAGAGAGGATGAAATTAATGGCATGATCTTAAGACTCTCTCAGTTTTGTAAAATCTTCTGAGCCCC